CACAAATGAATAGAAAAAAAAAGTCACGTCCTCCAGTTCTAGATTCACCGAACGGGGAAACATCCAGCTGTATCCACACTGTCATGCTCCAAGAATTTTGTAAGTTTTGATAAGATCAGCTTTCATTCTTTAAAACCCAAGAGAATACAGGTCCAGTTTCCTCAAAGAAAAACAGAAATTTCTGAAGAAACTCAGCAGCTCTGGCAGCATCTACGGAGCATAAGTAAAGTTAATGTTTCAGGTCCAGTGATCCTTCTTTAGAATGCGGTTTTTCTCAATCTCTCTGCATAAAGCAATCCTGCCATTCCAGGCAGAACTCTTGTGAAGGTCTGTTGCACAGTACTCCAGATGAGGTCACAACCAGAGATTGTATACAATTGCAGCAAGGTATCTTTGCTTTTGTACTCAAATCGGAACTTGTTGGAAACAGTATCAGACACACCTAAAAAAATAGGCATCAATATGATGATGCTACAACACGGATACAGGCTCGTTAAAAAGTGAAAGCAGCATGCGCTAAACACAGTTACATGATCCCACAACCAACAGACAAAAATCAAAGCTCCACAGACTCTATGCAGTTATGAATGGTAATGAACAACTAAACAACACATAAGATGAGAACACTCCACAAATGTCCCTGTCCTCAATGGTGGAGGAGCCCAGCACATTTGTACAAAAGACGAGGCTTGAGGATTTGCAAGCAACTTTAACTAGAAGTGCGGAGTTCCATTTCTGTATCCTCCCAAGGTTTCCAATATCAGAGATACCATGTTTTAGCTAATTCAACTCACTCTACTTCACATGATGTTAAAAAATGGCTGAAGCCACTAGATACAACATCAAATGTCCCTAACAACAGCCTGGCAGTAGCAGGAAAGACTTGGCTTTAGAACACGCTGCACCCCTAGCTAGGCCATTCCAGCACAGCTAGAAGCCTACTAGGCAATACGGAAAATTTTCAAGCATGTCCTTGCCATTAAAAAAAATTATTGTCCTCGTCTGGTTCTGACAATCAAAGTTGTGGAAGATGTCAGATTCTCTTTTTCTCGGTCCTCTGTGTACCTTGTTTCTGTTTTTATGTACTATAACTTGGTGCCCAACCTCCTATCATTATAAGCACACTTTCTAATTCTGAATTTATCTTGCATTCGTTGTTGTAATGGTACATTACTATCTCAAAATGCACTTACTTCCCTGAAATTACAAAACTCTGCAATGCGGATTACAAAACTGACAGTAAACTAATATTTTCAGTAAAAGTGTATGCAGATCAAACGAGGAACATTATGCATTAATACTTTTGCTTATGTTGTAACTGAATGCATTATATGCTTTGAAGTACTACAGATTTTCAAATTTATTTTTACTGTTCTACCATAACACTGAAGTTTCACCAATTTGCATAATATTTTATATCATTAAATTGTGTTTAATATACAATTAACTAGAGTATTCTGTTAAGCACAAAGTAAATTTAAGATATTGGAATGATTAAAAATATACAGAACATCTCATTTAAAATTAGAATATCTTCATAACAAAATATATCTAGAAATTAAAATATGATAAATGGATAAAAGAACGTGCATATTTCACTGGAATAAACATTTAAATTCTTTTTATTATACAGCCATTTCAAAAAGTGGCATGCTTTTGCTCAATTTCCCAAATTAATCAAAATCAATCACTTGAGTATTGAGGAACAAAACCAAAGTTGCTGGTAAAGCTCAGCAGGTCTGGCAGCATCTGTGAAGGAGAAAACAGAGTTACGTTTCGGGTCCGGTGACTCTTCCTCAGAACCGGGTCACCGGACCTGAAACATTAACTCTGTTTTCTCCTTTACCAGATGCTGCCAGACCTGCTGAGCTTTTCCAGCAACTTTGTTTTTGCTCCTGATTTACAGCTTCCACAGTTCTTTTGGTTTTTACTGGAGTATTGAGAATTGAAATACCCGAAAACCGGTATTTGCACTGAACAAGGTCCACACGTATCATGAAATACAGAAAATTGTTTGTGAATGCAATAGTTTAAATACTTTTCCCATGTACCCTGAGAGTTCAGTGGATAAGAATAGATTTATACTGAGGTTTTTTTTGCACAGGTTTGAATAATGCAAGTTATATTTTAAAGGTTTGGGTGGGTAAGCAGGAATGGAGATAACTAGGAGTGTGCATATATAGATCTTTGAAGGCATCTGGACAAGCCAAGAGGGTCCATTTAAAAAACACAGGATCTTTGGACTTATAAAAAGAGTTATAGAGTACAGAAGAAAGAAGGTTATAATAAATCTTATGAATTATAGGTTAAGCCCCAGCTAGAGTATTATGTCAAATTTTGGCCATCACATTTCAGGACGTCAAAAGTTTCGAAAAGGTGAAGAGATCTACTAGGTAGCAAACAGCAATGATACACTAGACAGACAATCTGGAATCGGTCTTCTCAAAGAAGAAAAGACCAACAGGAAATTCAATAGCGTTATTCAAAATCATGTAGAATTTCAATAGTGTAAATAAGAAGGAACTGTTTTCAGTGACTGGTCAGTAATCAGAGGACAAATTTAAAGATAATTAACCAAAGAACTAGAGACAAGATAAGAATTCTTTTCAGTAATGAAATGTAATCTGGAATATATTGCCTGAAAGTGTGGTGAAAATAGGTTCAATAATTTTCAAAGCAGAATTAGATTAATGCTTCAAAGGGGAAAAAAAATCTACAGGGCTATGGATAAGTGAAGGAGAAAGGAGTTGATGGAGCAGTTTTTTCAAAAAGCCTGCACAGAAATGATGGGCTGACCATCTTCATTCTATGCTGCACATCCTATACCTCTATATTGTTTCCACTCATATAAGGCATGTTGCCATTAAATCAAATTTTAAATACAATCAATAAAAACCAAAAGAACTGCAAATGCTTTAAGTCAGGAACAAAAACAGAATTTGCTGTAAAAACTCAGCAGGTCTGGCAGCATCTTTGAAGGAATATCAGTGTCAACGTTTCAGGTCCAGAGGAAAGGTGACCAGACCCAAAACGTTAACTCTGATTTTTCTTCACAGATGCTGCCAGACTTGCTGAGTTTTTCCAGCAACTTCTGTTTTTGTTTAAATACATCAACACTTTGTATTAAAATTATGGTTCTGCAAGAAGTTCAAAATCAAGTTGGTATGGCAGCTCAGTGGTTAGCACTGCTGCCTTACAGCACCAGGGACCCTGGTTCTATTCCACCCTCGGGCGACTGTTTGTGAGGAGTTTGCACATTCTCCCTTTGTCTGCGTGGGTTTCCTCCGGGTGCTCCGGTTTCTTCCCACAGTCCAAAGATGTGCACAGGTGTAATAATATCTTGATCAGTTCACAGATTGCTGAGTATTTATGCGAACATCTCACCTGTCATGAGCTCATTTTCATTGTATAGCCCCAGAATGCAGAATGCAACCATTTATCCACAAACAAGTTTACTTCTAATTCTAAATAAATTTAAGTTATTTAAAAGCTGTTACAAAGGAAAAAAGGACAGAAAAACAACTGTTACCAAGATGGAAAACACTATCATTTTTCAACAGGTCAGGCAGCATTTGTAGAGAACCAAGAGCCAATGCTCAGATCATTAAAATTGCTAGGTTGTGGTAGGAGGAGGAGACCATCTCTGCTGTGATTTCATCTTTGGGAAACTGACAGTGCATTGCATTATTATGTCCAATTATAAGTGGACTAGGGAGTAAGGATCACAATCCTAATTCTTATTTGGTTCATTTAAACAAAGGATTTTTTTTTATTCAAGATAAAGTGCTGGAAAACTCAGCATGTCTGGTAGCATCAGTGAAGACCGAAACACAAGAGTTCACATGTCATGTCCAATGATGCTTCTTTGATTTTGTTTTTATTTGAACTTTATCTTACCTTACCCAAGTTCATTCAATCTTCACATCTATTTTTAAGTTAATTTATTTGTTTCACAGAACTCGGGCTTCTGGTGTTTATTACAGCATTAGACAGGATAATTGTCAAAATGATGAAACACAATTAAACACAGAAAGTGTGTTGATATTGGCATTCATCAACCATCTTGAAACAGACAAGACCGTTAGAAGAATCAATTGAAACACACAAGATTCTTCAGGGACTTATTAGGATAGATGCAAAACGAGAGTCTAAAACCAGAGGGCATAATCACAGAGTAACCGGTTCGCCCATTTAAAACAAAACAAAGAATTTCTTCTCTCAGAGGGTAGTCAGTCTGTGGAATTCCTAGCTGTAAGAGGCTGATCATTAAGTATATTCAAGGTTGAGATAGACAGGTTTTTAATCATTGAGGGAATCAAGTGTTATAGGGAAAAGGCAGGATTATCAAATCAGTCATGATCTTATTGAATGGCAGAACAGACTCAATGGGCTGAATAGCCTACTTTTGATCCTACGTCTTATAGTTTTTTTTAAAGACCTGAAACAATGAGCTACTTGTCTATTGGATTGACTGGCCGCTCTCAAGGGTGGGATCTTCTCCCACTCTTCTCAGGTAGGGGTGGAAGTTCCACTCCAAATCAATTAAGGCTATCCTTCAGCTGTCCAGCATAGCTCTAGACAGACTTCTTGGTCAGTGCGTTGGGAAATTCACACGATTGCAAAATACACCCCATCAACTATGTTTCTCCTTCCCTGGTTGTTGCCTGAACTACTGAGTATTTCTAATGTTTTCTGTTATTATTTCAGATTGGATACATTCACAGCTTTTTGCTTTTGTATTTTGAATATTCCTGGAAACGTATGAAAGAGATATATTTGTATAATGCTTTATCAACCTACAGTGCTTTATTTATGTCAAAGTACAGCCACCATCCTGGCTAGCAAGCTTAGCAATAAATATGCACAGAACAAGGCCCCACACAGCAATGTAATTACTTCATAACATGTCAGCATTAAAAATTAATCTGATGTTAGCAACAGCAGTTTTATTTACTAACCATAATAAATTTAACAGGGTACATGGAGATGTAATTTCCTACCTTATCAAGGTCCAATTGTCCAACTCCGTATGTGCTATGTCTCCAATTTGTCATTAATAAAGATTCAGTTGGCTTCCTGTCCAAGCTTCTGCTTTTACTAACAACTTCTTGCCGCTTTGCTGCAATGTTGTACTATTAATAAACAGGAAATCATATTTTAGATATGATGCACTGAATCTACTAAAACTAGCAAAGACTTCAATCAATTTGTTTCAGGTGCAAAAAATATGAACTCAAAGCATGTCCTTCAAAATAGATCTATGGCCTGTGAAATAATGACTAAATGAAAGGTGCAACAAGAACCGCAGGAAGTGCTACACCTGCCCCCACACCTCCTCCCTCACCCCCATCCCAGGCCCCAAGAAGACTTTCCACATCAAGCAGATGTTCACCTGCACATCTGCTAATGTGGTATACTGCATCCGCTGTACCCGTTGTGGCCTCCTCTACATCAGGGAAACCAAGTGGAGGCTTGGGGACCGCTTTGCAGAACACCTACGCTCGGTTCGCAATAAACAACTGCACCTCCCAGTCGCGAACCATTTCAACTCCCCCTCCCATTCCTCAGACGACATGTCCATCCTGGGCCTCCTGCAGTGCCACAACGATGCCACCCGAAGGTTGCAGGAGCACCAACTCATATTCCGCTTGGGAATCCTGCAGCCCAATGGTATCAATGTGGATTTCACAAGCTTCAAAATCTCCCCTCCCACTACCGCATCCCAAAACCAGGTTAGTTCGTCCCCGCCTCCCTAACCTGTTCTTCCTCCCACCTATCCCCTCCTCCCACCTCAAGCCACACCCCCATTTCCTACCTACTAACCTCATCCCGCCCCCTTGACCTGTCCGTCCTCCCTGGACTGACCTCTCTCTTCCCTAACTCCCCACCTACACTCACCTTTACTGGCTTCATCCCTGCTTCTTTGACCTGTCCGTTTCCTCTCCACCTATCTTCTCCTCTATCCATCTTCTATCCGCCTCCCCCTCTCTCCTTATTTATTTCAGAACCCCCTTCCCCTCCCCCATTTCTGATGAAGGGTCTAGGCCCGAAACGTCAGCCTTCCTGCTCCTATGCTGCTGCTTGGCCGGCTGTGTTCATCCAGCTCTACACCTTGTTATATCAGATTGTCTTCTCTTGCCACGTTTGTGTTTTTAGTGTTCAACAACAGCTATATCTGGTGGAAAAGCAGACATTTTCATACACCTACAACTCTGGGCAGGAATCGTTATTATATAGCTGTTGTATCCACTTCCCTATGATCTTGAGCTTGCTGATTCCCCAACATGATCTTTCTTTGATACTTTCTGCATACGCACAGACATCTACTGGATCGGAGACACTATAATAATGCCCACCACAGAAACATAGAAAATAGGAACTGGAGTAGGCTACTTGGCCCTTTGAGCCCGTGCCAGTATTCAATATGATTAGGGCTGATCATCCAACTCAGTGCCCTGTTCCTGTTTTCTCCCCTTACCCTTTACTCCAAGAACTATAGCAAACTCCTTTTTCAAAAATAATTATTATTTTGCCTTCAATCATTTTCTGTGGCAGAGAATTCCACAGACTCAACACTCTGGATGAAGAAATTTCTGGTCACTTCAGTCCTAAATGGCCTACCTTGTATCCTTAAACTGTAACCCCTGGTTCTGGACTTCCTAGTAATTGGGAACATCCTTCCTGTGTTAACTCCATTTAATCCTGTTAGAGGTTTTAAAGTTTCTATGAGATCCCCGCTCATTCTGCTAAACTCCAGTGAACATAGTCCTTTCCGATCCAGTCTCCCTTCACGCATCAATCCTCCAATTCTAGGAAACAGTCTGGTAACTCTTCATTGCACTCTCTCCATAGCCAGAATGTCCTTCCTCAGATAAACAGACCAAAACTACATTTAATAGTGGTCTCACATAGGCCCTGTACAACTGCATCAAGATATTCCTACTCCTACGTATGAATCCTCTCATTATGAAGGCCAACACACAATTTGCTTTCTTTAACATCTGGTGCACCTGCACGCTTATTAGGTGTATTGGTGTAAAAGGACACCTAGAACTCACTGGGTAAGATGACAGATTGAGTGCAATTTATCACCATTCAGATAATCTGCCTTCCTGTTTTTGCTACCAAATTAGGTAACTTGAGATTTATTGACATTATGCTACCTATTTCAGCCTTAAATATTCACAAGGACTCTGCCCCCACAGCTCTCTGTGACAAGGGGTCAAAGATTCAAAGCCATCTGAGAGAAGAAATTCCTCCTCATCACAATATTAAATTGGCACTCTTAGTTGTTAAGTCAACTCTTAAGTCGTAACCCTGCCTTATTTATAGCTTTAATCAAAGGAAGTTTGACTCATTCCTTACTTCCATTTGTCTCACTGGGCGAGGGAGTCAAGTGGAAATGCAAGGGGCAATCATATTACAAAATGGACTGCGTTAATGACCTCTGCAGAGCATGGCATATTTGATTCCTCAGGCAAATGTGGACAAGTAGACACTAATTGCATTCAACATCTATAAGATGGAATATATGCTGGTTTTTTGTTTTGTGTGTTACGTTCTTTCAAATAGATTTCTAATATAATACATTCATATACTTTTCACAAAGCATTTCTGTGTGTTTAAGGAAAATATGGTTTCAAGCAGAGTACAAATCACAGTCTTAGAACATGTCTTCTCTTTTAAAGAGACTCAAAACAACTTGGGAATTCTACTCTCTTGGAGGGATTCTGACAGTTTGTCCTGCACACTTCTTCCAACACAGGAAGAAATTCGCCATGCAGTACTTTAACTGGTGAGGAGGGAATCATCGTTGAACTTCAAAACTGACAAGAATTCATAGAACTGTGATGGAACAGAAGGCGGCCATTTAGCCCACTGTACATGCATTGGCTCTATTATCTAGTGCTAATCTCCTGGCCCTCTCCCCAAATCCCTACACACCATTGCTATCCAAAATAAACCATTCAATGCCCTCTTGATTACCTCAATTGAATCTGCCTCCAACACATTTCCAGGCAGCGCATTTCATACACTAACAACTCACTGTGTGAAAGTCTTTTCTCACATCACCCATCCTTCACTTGCACATCATTTCGATCAGATGCCCTCTTGTTCTGGATTCTTTTAAAAGCAGAAACAGCTTCAGCTGATCTAGTCTGTCTGGCAGACTCATAATTTTGAAAACCTCAATCAGATGTCCTCTCAGCCACCTTCTCTCCAAGGCAGTACAGTCCCAATTTCTTCAATTTATCCTCATAGCTGAAGCTTTTCATACATGAAGCCAGTGTTGTAAGTTGCTTCTGCACTCTCTCTCTTGCACATGGAAATCATTCAAGAATCAGAGGGAAGGGAACACAGGTGAAATGTTTGAATCCTTGCTGAGTTTCTTCAGCAAAAATGGGCAATGGACACTGGGTCCAAAACAGTCCATATCAAGAGACAAACTACTTACTCAGCATTTTTCTCCAAAAATACACTTTCAGAAAATTTGTAAAGTTCATGCAAAATTAAAGACAAAATTAATCAGTTTCTTTCAATTGGCACTCAAATTCCTAAATACATTTATAATTTCAGGGTATATCTATAACTTGTATTTATATTTCATGTCATTACATTTCATTTGATTACTACACCCAAGGGTTCTACATGGATCACAGCTCCTTGGTGTAAAATGCAATAGTAGTGGCCTTTCCCCGTAGAGCCTTTACTGTGACTGCCCTAAGCCTTAGAATGTCCCTCACACATAATCCTGCACTGTGGGAATGACCGCTTACAACAGTCATTCATAGAAAGCAACAAGCAAGTTACCAGCAGACTAAACAGCATCTTTCACAGTTATTGATCCTTTAGTAGTTAACGTTTGTCTCAGTGTATGTCTCTGGGATCAGCCTGAACACCGGAGTCCTCTGTTAAGGGGTGCATGCCATGAATTGAGAAAAACTATTACATTTCTTTGCAAGCCTACTTTTAAAAAATGCATTCCATAGGAGGTAGGAGATGGTCTACTCTACAGCAAAGCAGTCTTGAAGATAGCAGCAAAGGTAGTAAAACTTTGGATTTGAAGGAAGGATCTGACCAGAAGATTGTTTCTCATCATCAGCTACACCTTTCTGCTTGTTTGGAAGCTCCGAGGATGTTTACTAGGATGTCCATTAGATTTCTGCAACATGCTGTTAAGTCTTTCGTTCTCAAACAATAAAATGCTGCAGTATACTAACCAACAAGCTTCCATGATCCTATAAAGAACTGAACCCACAGTGTTGGAATCACTCTGCATTGCAAACCAAACATGCAGTCAACCGAGTTAATCAACTTCCTAATACTAACTAGTACACGTACTCAAAAGGTCAAAAAACTGTTTGGTTTCATAAATTAGTCATTAAGTCCAAAGCCTGAAGTTGGGCAACTGGGGAAGGGATAGGAAGAAAATAATGAAAGTGGTTAGCTTTTAGAGAGAGGATCGAGTACGTGGACTTTTAAAGCTGGCAGCTCAGTTTAGAAGGTTGCAAACTGGATGAATGAAATTCATATGTTAATGCATCAGGAGAATACGGTATTAAAAAAAAAGCAAGGAAATGATCATCAACTTAAACTACAAAAAATCTTCACTTAACAGTGACTCACTTAACATTGGTTTGTTTTAAATTCATTAATATAGTGTAACAATTTAACATTTAATGTTACTTGCCAGACTCTGTTCTGAGTTATGCACACTCACATGGACTTTCTACCCCAGCCCCCAGAGCTTCTGCTCTCACCCTCAGTTCCCACCCTTCTGCTCAACTTGGCCTCCCATCCATTCTTTCTTTCTTGATTTCAATATTTTACTACAGACGGGTTGCACATTTTAGAAAAAAAGTCCAAGAATCTTTCCTTCCATATGTTTTCGTTTGACTCCTTCACAGTCCATGATCCCAGCTAAGGGTGTTAGAACAAGGTGCCCAACAGATGGGAAGTCCCTCAGTCATTTGCTATCTTTCAAGCTCCTTTACTTGAATGTTGAATTTAGAGCTAATGAACAGGGCACCTGTTCAGTCTGTCTGTGACAATGGCAACTATATTCCCATCTCTGTAGGCATCAATAATCTCAAATTCTCCAATGTAGCCACGCTTCATCATTACAGCCAGG